AATCTGCTCGTTTTTGTTTCTTCAAGGTGGAAGTCTTTAATGTCTTACATTCACGCCCATCCGTCCGAGCCCTAGAACGGTGCTAGCTATGGCCTCTCCTACTAACTCTCTATAGGCAATGACGTGATGGCACAGTGGCGCATAGCAATAGTTGCGCCACCACAGCTGTGGCCCCTCTCCCTTTTACCCTCCCATCAATCATGTGGTTCCTTATTAAAAAAAACAAAAACAAACAAGATATGGTGCAGTCTAATGGTCACGGGTTTTCGCCGAAATGCTTTGTAATTTACAAAGTATTCTTTTTTGTGTGAGTATGTGAATTGTTTGGCGTCCAGAGGTGTATTCGAGTGACAGACGAAATCGCGATTCGACCCCGGCGATCACGTACTATACGCCACCGTACGTCACCCGCCCTGCTTCGGTCCACGCGGAGCGATTCATGAAACGACCGAAGCCTAAATCGAGCAATGACAAAATCCTCGCTTCTAGCATGAATTCTTTCCTGTCGTGTGAATGCTATAGTTGCGGAGAAATCCGAATTACGTTCCACGTCACCTGACTGATCCGTCCACAATCATGTTCGTCGCGTGAACACAGCTTAACTCTTTGGCCATGGTGTTTCACATCCGCTTTTCTCTTCTGTAGTCTGCGTGTAATTTCCGACGCTAGCGTTATGCTGCTCGCTTATCTGGCTCCGACACAGAGAGAGAGAGGTTCTGCAGTCATAATTGAACGTTCACGGATGAGCGCGTTCACTCTGGTCAAGTTATAACGGCGAGCGCACGTTCTGCTCGGGCGTGTAAAACGGGAGAGCTGCGTGAAGCCAAGGCGAGAAGTGGGCAAGGAGGATCGAAACAATTGCTGGAGCGGAAATGATTGCCCAGAAGTGAAGCCGTGTCTATGGCAAGATGGCGGCTGAGGCAGCCATTTTATTAGGGGCATGACAAAGTATCACCATTCTGCGATAGACAGGGAAGTTTATTGCAAACTGGTAACAACACTTCCGGCGAGTACAACTGTCTTGTGTAACAAAATAACTTCAGTGGCCGCGTACAAACAAAGGAACATAGACACGATGTAGCACACAGCCCTTCAAAATTCTCACAGATCACGAATCACTCAAGAAAACAAAAAAAGGAAATGCGAAAATCACTAAATTGAAACAGATTCACATCTTGTGCGACAAGAATTATATATATATATATATATATATATATAAATATATATATATATATATATATATATATATATATATATATATATATATATATATATATATATATATATATATATATATATATATATATATATATATATATATATACATAGCGCTTGCATAGCAGCGTCGCCAATGAGTTAATTCTCGCACGTCTAACAAGTTCACATAGTGCTCCAAGTGCGTCTTGGTGTTGCTATTTTTTTTAATAAGCCTCATTGGAGGCAAACTTCTTTGCAGATTCAGTCACTCATACTCGTTTCTGTGTGTTATTTCGTCGGGAACAACTGTCTTTTAATATAGAACTAACGTAGCTTTTACATTAACATATCAAAGCCACTTGGGCACTACCAGAAAAGAGCATGTTTCCGCCATCTTGGCAGTGGCAAAAGCTGGCTTCACTTCCGCAGGCAAGGCATTGCGGGAGCTTCCACTCCGGCAATTTTTTTTTATCCTCCTTGGAAGTGATACGACGACAGGGTGGTCCCTGAGAGCACACCCCTGAAAGCGCAAGTTACGTTCGCGACTTTTTTGGAGTAATTTGTAGCTTTGCGTTTGGTAATGCCAAAATTATAAATAGTAAATGCTCTATTGCACGGTGTAATTAATGCTAGGATCGTTAATTCAGAACAATTTTGCGCCAGTTCGAGACGTTCCCTTCAATACCATGAGAAACCAGCGCCCGACAGCGGGGCAGCGCATGAGACTACGTGTGTTAATTTAGTTGACGCTGAAAGAAAACAATAAGTCTGTAGGGATCATCAAGTACCGTTTGGGGTACCGCGGGCAAAAAGACGACTTGTATAGATAGTATAGTACCTAGTGCTACGAATTGTTACACGGGACGGCTTTCTGCTCTCTCATAGTAGAGTACATTGTACTCTAAATCGTTAACAACTTTTTCTACACACACACTGATTTCGAGTGCCGTAAAATCCGTATTAAGGGACGGCTTGCTGCTCTCCCATAGTTGAGTACGAAGTACTCAAAATTGTTAAACACTTTCTTTCTAAGCACACTGCGAATGTTCCGTTGGCTGTGCTGGTTGCTGACCAACGTGGGCAGCAGTTTAGGGGCGGATTTCTGCCCTTCCATTGTAAAGTACCAAGTACTTTAAGTTGTTCAACACTTTTTTGTAAGCACGCAGAACTCCATGATGTTAATTTCACCATCATATGTGCATTAATGAAAGAAGAAAATCAAAGTACCACTTTTAAATTTTGGGCCGAAAATCTCCGTGAGTACCGTCACGGATTTCAAAGTGTGCTTTCGTATTTGGCTACATTGGCTAACGAAATTATCTGAAAATTGTGAAGTCTCGAGCACCGTCGGGGGACTTGGACTTCCGCCTTACCATTCAGGAATGACGTATGCTCTAGTAGACACCATCGAAAACAAAAATATATGCCGTCACGGTTACTACCAGAAGTTCAAGGTGGCGTCGCCACCAGGATTATCATTATGCGCGTTTTCTCGCTTACAAAAATGTGTTGTCGCGGCAAGCGCGTACATTTTGGAGTTGAGAAAGAGTAGTTTACTAATGAAAAAAAAAGTCTCTTTTTCTTATCTAACGACCCTCTAAACTTCTCCGACATTAAAAGCATGGATGGCGCTTGTCATAAAACGCCCAGGCGCAGTTGAGATGAATCCCTGAACGGGGGTTGGTGCCAACGTTTTGACCGATAATGGTATTGTCTTCTACGAGACGGCTAGTTGCCTGTCTTAGCGCGTGTACGTGTATACTTTGTACTTTCTCCCCCAACCAACACAGGAGAGAAGGACTCTCTGATCTGCACTTTCCTCTTTTTGGTTTGGTTGGAGGAGAGGGTACGAAGCGAACACAAGCACGTACTAAGTTGGGAAATTTGCTGCCTCTTGGAAGACAGTATACCGTTTGTCCAAACGTTGGCACCAGCGACGAACCCCGTACTCAAGGACTCTTCATTACTGTCATCATGGTAATGTGCAAAGCGCGAACAAGAAATTACAAGCACACAGCCGAGAAACTCAAAATACACGCTCGTAGCGCTATCTACCAGCGCGCTGATGAGTTCACAGTCAGCGCCGGTGATGAAAGTTGATGCGTTGATGGTCACCGATAATGACGAGCGCCGATGAGCTGGTAGCGTTTCTTGTGTGGTTTTTGTGTGCCACCTATGTGTTCTTTCATTTTGCGTAGTATATGACATTGAATATTAACAACTAAACGAATCTCATATTTATAGACATTGATCATGGCACCATCAAGATCATTGCGCATGCGCTCTGAAATTCATGAAATGTGTCTCTAGTTTCATCTTATGCAGCACGTCGAACGAAAGCTTCTGTGTTAACAGTGTGGCGCTGCTTGTGCACAAAAGACTGCTGCCGAAGGCGCAAATGTATTTCGTGTTTCAGCAAGTCTATGAGCTCGCCGGTCTGTTTCCTACTTCCATCTTCGTTCTTCTACCTTTTTTTTCTTTTTTATATATTCGTTTACAGTGACTGACAGGCCGGCCCTCATGATGGAAAACAGCGCCAACATCAAGCGGGCGTTCCTGGAGGAATTACAAAACGTCACAAGGCTATCGCCACTCAGAACCCCGGATCTGCTGGTGCGTACTCTTGAAAGCATACGCAACCAACACGTACACACGTGCACTAAAAATGTTAGCTATGGCAAGCGTAAGACACGGGTAAAAAACTGGTGCCATATGCGGTTATGAGGCCTACATTAGTCGTATGCGAACATTGCAAAGCAATACAGCGGAAGTTGGAGCCAGAAAGTGACAAAAAGCAGCGCAAGCAGAAGACAGCGACAAAAATTATGGCGTATTAATATGGTGTTATGAGTCCTCTATGCATAGGTACGTGTATGGTTTGTGGGTAGGTGGCATGGGGTGGGGGTGCGGCCGCTTCTACTAAACATCTAAAGGCGGTGCCTAAACGGCCCAGTACCTTTACTCAACGAACATCTGACGTCATTTTTAATGCGCAGTGTTATGGCTGAACGCTTTTGTGTCTGTTGTTTTTGACGATAATGGTGACCGAGAATCTCCAACGTTGCATTCCGAGAACTGCTTAACGTTCACTTTTACCCCGGAAAGTCGAGGCCCATGGAAGGGCTTTATGCACGCCATCGCTTTGTACTCATTTTTTGATACAATGTGGGGCTTCTTTTCTTTCGATTTAGGCCATCGGAGAGAGGATGGGAGAGTCGCTACGGGGTAGCATTCTTCCCCCCCTATTGCAGAACTTTGCGCACGGCCATGCCTATATGATGTTTAACCAAATGAGATTAGAAATTTTGGGTGAAGATAAAAGCCTGAAGGGGTGAGAAATCGGCCAGTAGAGAATGTGCAAGCCTACAGTTCCACACTGGGATCGGCATTTGTCCCTACTACCTCTAGGTATTAGTGACAAATACCGATCCCAGTGTGCCACTGTAGGTATTAAGAGACGATATTACCATGAATTATATTACCATGAATGTGACAGGTCTCACAATCCAAATGTAGGCTTTAGCTACTTGCCTTGCTCGGCGACATTTTATCTCTATGTGCCGCGTTTCAGCCACAATTGCCTTCCATCTTGAACAACGTTTTCATCAACAAAGTTGCCGACTTCAACTTGTCAAGTGCATTAACGTGCTAAACTGACGATGAGCGGCTGCAAGATTGGCTCTAAGAAAAGATAGTTTCGCTGTACTCTCCCCATTATGGGTACATGACATCAAGAAAGAAAGGAAATGAGAGCAAGAGAACAGAATATGATACCGGTTCTAACTCAATCTCTCGGACTTTCAGATTGATTTCACGGATAACATGGCCTACGTCACTGTGCTTATTCTGGGACATCCTGCAATTTCGGGTTTGTATAACCGATAGCGTAAACTATTTACGATTGTTACGCTTATGGTTGATTGATTATTTGATTAATTCATTTATGCACTCATTCACTCACTCACCAGCTCATTATTTGATAAACTGATTGATTGATTCACTTATCAATAGATAGACTCAATGGTTCATTTATTGGTTCATTCATTATTCCATTGACTCATTGATTGATTTGTTGGTTCATTCATTCATCCATTGACTCATTGATTGATTGATTGGTTCATTCATTCATTGACTCATTGATTGATTTGTTAGTTCATTTATTCATCCATTGACTCATTTATTTGATTGGTTGGTTCATTCATTCATTCATTTACTCATTGATTGAATTGTTGGTTCATTCATTTATCCATTGACTCATTGATTGATTTATTGATTCATTAATTCATCCACTGACTTTATTCATTCATTGTTTCATTCATTCATCCACTGACTGATTCATTCATTCACTCATGCATTCATCAATTGACTCATTGAGTGGGGGGGGGGGCATCTGCTGCTGTTTATACTGTTGCGCACAATGTAGGCAAACTTAAGAGAGATCTTCGGAGTTCTTTAGCTACAACGAAGACGACTCAAGTCGAAAGCAATTAGAAATCCATTAAAGCGCATTCGTTTGCATTATTTTTGAAACTTTTGTTGACATTCCCACTTGTTGTGCATGCTACATGGCATGTCAGAACAAGGGTGACAAGTCTCTAAACACCCGACGACGCATAAGCAAGCTTACAGATGAATTCATTTTTAAATTCAGCAGTTCTTTCTTGAAGCCTCACTCGAAACTTCCCTCTTAACCATGGGCTTTATTTTGTACATTGCGTAATTCTGCCATTGGTCAAACATAATTGGCACAGAGAACCGCTACGTCTTTTGTTATTCAATTTAAATGCGGCCATCGCAAAGTGTGACAATATGACAATATTTCACAGAGTGCAGAACACCACCCCGGCTCGGCATAACGCTTTAGCAAGGACGGAGTGAGCTACAAATGCTCGGTAATTCTCCATCGCGCAGGCGACTACGCAGAGATACCGAAAATGAAAATCATGGAGCCCGAATCGACGGAGGGAGCCATCACGCGTGACAACTGTCTCAAGGCGTGCTCTTCCAAGGACTACAAGGACTGCAGGTGAGGAGGCGGGCGCTCATGTTTAACACTTTCCCATCTGTAAGTAAACCACCCCAGAACAAATCTGCGCGAAGTGCGTGAGTAGGGCTGCAAGTATATGCACTTCGACATATCTTCAAGTGTGTAAAAAAGAAAGAGGAGTGCTTGAAAAACACATTTTAAGACATCGTACACTCATACAAAGAATGAGCGTGTTCATAGGAATCGATCACACGCTAGCGGGTTTGGAGATCTACTACGACAGCACCTCCGAAGTATCCGCTATATAGAACCTGCTACACTCAAGCACACGTTCAGGGAATTCGAGGGAATTACATACGCTCCCATGCAGTCTCGACTAAGTGGGACGATGACCTGCTGAGCTCCCAACCCTCTGATCAAATCTGAGCCGTCCAGCAGGCCCGCGAAGCGGCGACTAAGCATAACCTGGACGTTCGGACGTAGGGGAACACAGCCCGAGATAGGACATTCCGTACTGCAGGACATTCAGTATATAGGTTTTTACCAATCATGACCATTCCTTCAGTACCACTTTCTTTAGAGAATAAAAAAATGGGGAGAAAATGCGCATTCTTCTCGGTTTCGTGTAAAGGATCCCGGGCATTCATAATGGCTGCCTCAGCAATTTTCACCCACGACAGCATGTCTCAACGAATGTACCTATCTCCCCCGCAATTCACGATTGGGTGGTACAGTGGTCTTCTATTATGCTATAGCAGTGCTGGTTAGCTCCGGATAAAAAATAACATTGGGCTAAACGATATCGAATGCCTGATCGTGTCAGCGAAAGCTCGTTCACTGATAGCCAGTGTAGTCTAAATTAACGTAAGCGTTGTTTAACACTGAATAATGGTAACTAATGATTGTATATCTTGTTTTAACAGCGAGGTGGTCTTCGTCATAACTCGCTAGAGTGAGCAAGTTGAGGTTTTTTTCTTTGTACGCACAGAGAACAACCTGAATGGTTGCTGTCCGCGTTGCTGGTGCATATGTCACGGGACTCAGATGGCCCGAAAGTCACGGGTTCAATCCCGGCCGGGGTGATTGTATTTCGATGGTTGCAAAGTGCTGGAAGCACGTGTACTTTGTGATGCATAAGTGCACGTTAAAAAAGCACCAGGCGGTCGCAATATCCCGTGCCCTACACTACGGCGCGACTCATTATCATAATTTACTTCATTTCATCACCTTAAAGACCACGTTTGAGGTATTACATAAGAGGTGGTTGGCATATTGGAAAGATAAAACCAGGTGTCATGGCGTGATACAGGTTTGCAACGCTGCTTTGCCACGTAAAAGCTCAGATATCTTCAACTGAATTGATGCTGCCCGACTCCCTTTTTTTTCGAGCCTCTTATGCTGTTTCTACTCTGGCTTTCAGCGCCGTATCCTACTGTAGTTCAGTCTGTGCGACGACGACGAAGGCGAGTGTCAACTCGTCAGGCGTGCTCGTGAACTCGGGAGACTGCAGCACCTACGTGAGTGAGTATCGCAGCTCCTGCGGTTGACCTTAATCAACGTTCCTTTTCGGCACGTCTTAGAAGGCACCCTATGGTACTCAAGCGATTGCTTTCTTGGGAATCGTGACGTAAGATCAGCGAGAGTAATCACCAAGTCACGTCTCGTGGTAGTTAAGCATTGGCTTCGTTAATTTGAAGTATCATAGTCTTGGTGAATAGGGGCTGACATACATTTACGGGGCGTGTGCTAGAACATGACTCGCGTTGTTACGTTATATTCAAGTAGGTCCATGGTAGCATAGGGATGGACGAATAGTAAGTTTGATGTTTGAAGCGAATTCGAGGTGAATTGTTATTTGGTCGTAGAATTTGGAATGCAATAGTTTTGATAATATACAGTATCTATCACTATAAAGAAAGAAGCTTTTTTGTAACCGTCCAATTGAATTGCGCAAAATTTTTAGGAATTGAGGCTAGAAATGCGTGAATGTCACTTGTTTTGTTTCGAAGTAAAGTGGAAGCAACTTTGAATAGTAGCATGGTTTGAGTCACCGAAGTGTTGGAGTTTTAAGCAGTAAAATACGTTACTTATTAAGACTTACTATTCTTAGCTCATATAATCCCACATAACACGCTTGTAAACTTACGAAATAACTATTCGAGGGTAAAGCAATACGCACATTTAACCTTGACGTGTGGCTTTGCGGCAGTGCAGAGTTTGTTTGGTTGGGTGGTTCCACAGCATAACGTTTTCAGGCTGCATTGAAACCACTTTCAGGAGCCAACTTGCAGTCAAATATACGTCAATTCGTTCGTTCCGATCCGTGTGCTCTGATTTGGGTGCACGTTAAAGAACCCCAGGTGGTCGAAATTCCCGGAGCCCTCCACTACGGCGTCTCTCATAACCAAATGGTGGTTTTGAGACTGTTAAACCCTACATATCAATCAATCGATCGTTCGTTTCGAAGACTTCTAAATTAAAAGAAAATAATTTAATTTCGTGTCGAATCGGATCGAAATCCTGTGGTATCCCGTTAGAATATTCGAACGGGTCGAATATTGCCTTATAGTATACAGATATCGTTCCTGCTTGTTTTTTTGTGTATTCAGAGACAGAACGTTCAAAAAAAAGGACGTCGTCCTCACCCGAGACGCCATCTCGTACCTGGAAGATGCACTACGAAAAAGCGAGTTCAAGATTGTCGTGAAGCACCTCAACACAGTAATAGTGGTAAGTTCAGTCGAACCTCCTGTACCAACAGAGGCGGATCCCCCGTCTTTCGAGTGCCTCCAACCCATGTTCGCACCGGCCTCTCAACTCAACACCTGACAAAAGCTTAGCGCGGCGAAATGTGCTTATGGTTGACGTGAGGTAGCCCGTATTTGTCTTAATTCCTCCAATTTATTGCGATCAGAAAACTAATTGAACGAGTGGAACCTCTGTGATCGCAGAGTATCAGTATTTATGGAGTGATGGGGTTCTCATGATAGTAGCAACTACTAAATCTCTTTCCGAAGTGTATTTTTCTTGCACTTGAGTAAAATAAAAAAATAAAAAAGTCAGGGTCTCCCCCCCTTATCTTTTCCGGCTTCGCTTCCAATGATTGCCCCCTGCATCCCCTCCTTAAGATGAGTGGCAGCATGCAACTGTGGACACAAAGCATCTGTTTTTATTCATAATTCAGCGTGTGACCCGTACGACAAGTTCGTACGGCCACAATGAGGAGGATATGTATCACTTGTTGCTCGACTGCCCGGTGCACACAGCCTCCTCCAACATTTACTTGAGGTATCTGTGGCGTTGCACCCATGCAGCCACGACGGAAACCAGCGGCTGCGGCTGCAACTCGTTCCGTGGCAGTCTTTTTAGCGGCGCCGATTCGTGCTTCCGTGGTGCTTTGGCACACCTTTCATTTCCGCTATTCTTTCTCCCAGCGAACAACGCGCGTCTGTCCTATAGCCTGTCCGTGCTGATAACAAATCTAGCGCCGAATTTCCAGAGACAAAGGGACGCATCCCGAGACAAAGTGATTAATGGGAAACAGAGGCCGGTAAAACTTGCGGAGCTCACTCAAGCTCACTCATGAAATATATTTCGTACTTAGGGTTCAGTCCGCACTCATAATCTCCAACATTACCCCAGCAGGACTCACTACGACTCGAACTCACAGAAATTTTATTGAGCCGGACTCACTCGAACGCACTATAGTATTATTCAGCCGGACTCTCAGAGACTCTTACTAATGACTTGATTTGAGTAAGTCCGAGTAGAACGACTCGCGAGTCCGTTTTCCTAAAATTAGCTTTGTCGACCATGTTCTTTAAACCAAATATCACACGTAATCGGCGCTCTTCGCGGCGTATTTCGAAAGAGTCCCTTCGAATACGAGCTGTAAGTGCTGGCAAATCAGCTAGGTTGTTTTTTCTTCGAAGACATCACTAAATCAGATTTATTTATCAAGAAATTCCCTGGAAGAGCTGGCTGCGGACCAGCTCTTCCGGAGAAGCTCTGGATAAATAAATCGTCCAGGGAAGTTCTTGAAACGCCGTTGATCCATAAATACTGAAACGGTGTACGAACGACACTGCTTTTAGAATGCGTGCAAGTAGCCATGAGTATAAACGTGAATCCAGGTAAGGCTGACAGTAAAGCCGAAGTTGAGCAGATAGAACCGTAAGCCGTAGAAAAAAAAACGCGGAACTTCCTCAAACTCACTCAAGTAATATATCTTGTGATCTGGACTCACTTGGACTCAATCTCACCAAAATTTTCCCTGGGCCGAACTCAGTCGAACTCGCACTCACAGAAACTGTCTTCTACTGGACTCGCTCGGACTCATGCTCACGTAAATGCTACTTACCCGGACTCCATCACACTCACGGCTCGATACGAGTCTGAGTTAGGCCGAGTCAGTCGACTAATGGGAGAGTTCTCCGACCTATGGTGGGAAATTCCACCGCCCAGCAGCGCGACTTTTGTGAAATGAAAGGGACATGGCCAGTGGCGAGGGGCACCTGGGACGACGAGGCGAGATGTGCCAGAGTTTGTCGTTCGAAGCGTTTTCTGCGAGAGAACGGGGTCCACTAGAGTGAAAATGTGTTGGGGTGGTTTTACCCACCCCCTTCTATTGTCACTTTTTATATGAAGGCTGACATGGCAGTTCTGACCTCGAATGAAGTTTCCACTTCAACCTGTATGTTAGTGAACTGCAACCTCGTGACATGCGAGCAGAAAACAAAGGTGTTTTAATTCAGAGTACATTATTGTAACTTCACCTAATCTATTCTTCGTGCCTGCAGCTCCCCCCCTCATCTCCCCTCCCTCTCCCGATTTTCCGTACGGCCCCTACTGTGTCGGCTTCACCCAAAATTATCCCTCCGCCACAAAAGGTTGCCGGCCTTACACTTGAACATAAGTATATACAGCGGGGTGGTACAATGGTTTTCCAACGGGACACCCTGTTTCATAACTATGTGGTCTCAGAGTTCGTCTTTCTGTCGTTCCTCCCATGAACATACTTTCTTTTTGCATGCAAGCAACACCGGCCAGCAAGTCTGGTTTTAGTGTCCAGCAGAAGTTTGAATTATATATGTTCATTCTTCTTTCTCTCTTTTTTTTTTTTGTAGCTTTATCTTGCCCTTCAGGCTGCGACTTGATAAAAATGATAACCGGCAATCTGAATTCGAACGTGATGTGCTTCAATTTTCTCTTCGCAGGTTGGCACACTCGTTGCTGAAACTATAGAGTACTCCACGGGAGGGTTGCGTAACATGATCGGAGAGTCGAACCCCGACTTGAGACACCTACACCAACGCAGTAAGTGTACGAACTGCTGTTCTAATGCAATGGCAATTACGTGGATACACTCGGTGGCTTTTTTTTCACCGTCCCCGTCATCTTTCTTATGTATTCATAATCGATAACATCACCCAACGCACTTGACGTTGTACGAACGCGCCTAAATAAGAGATGAAACGAGCCGGCCATCTTCGACACACAGATGGCGCATGTGATTTAGCGTTTTGTAGAGTTACGCGAAATCGGATCCATAAGAGTTAGCGGCTAGCCTTACTCCTTTATCGCGTTCATTGCTTCGCCCTAACGGCGAAATTATATTTTTTTTTTTTCATTTTTCTCGTATATTTAGAGTTTCACGATACAGGACTGCCAGGAAAGCGCGCCTTCTGTCAATCCTGTGTCCCCTTTTTCAACGTGTTATACATCGGCAGTTTCGCTTTTCCTTATCTCTAGAACCGCACGCCAAATATCCTAACAGTTCACGCTTCTACAGTTTCATCTCTTGAATGTTTCGTTTCACGAGACGGAGGCTGGTGACTTTAGTGTGCGTTTGTGTCTCCTCCCGTATATGTATAACCGACGCTGTTGTGCGAATCCCTGTGATTTGCTAGGTTTCGGAGGAAAGTGAACGAGAAAAAAAAAGCGGTAAAAAAAAGCGGTGTCAAAGAAGGTTCACTTGCGAAGCTTCGATCGGCGAAATCGTGCTCCCTACACTTTAATAAAAAAAAAACAAAGAATTCGTGTTACTCTTTTATGTGGGCCATATGGCTTGCCTCGTGCGTTGCTCTCTTTACGAAGCCACGTTAGCGCTCTTTTGGGTAACATGACACTCCAGAGAGTACCATGACCCCCCAAAGAGCACTCCTATGTCTCCTGGAGTCATATACGAACGAGTCAAGGCTGTCAAAGAAGAGTCAAATCAATCTCTGTTTTCTTTTTCTTGGAGTGATTTCTTTTTCTAAGAGTGAACTTGTTTGTAATGACGTTACACGTGTCCACTTAGCAAACGACTGGGAACTGCAGTGCGTAAGCGGTAAAAAAACAGAAAAAGTTGAAGTAGAAGATTAAACCACTTGTCTCCCATTTTTCTACCCACATCTTTGGTCACGAATGCAGAAGTGAACTCAAGCACTTGCTACTTCCTATTGCGTGATGGTCATTGCTAAGCAAGTCTGACAACTCTGTCCGTTCACAACTCCGTCCATAGCCATTACGGCTAAACCGCATATTTGGTTTAATTTCTCCCACGCAGACAACTTCAACGCACCCGAAGGTTTCAAAGAAAACCTGGTGGTGACGGCGCTCAAGACGGACAAGCCCTACGGTCAGTACGTGGGCTCGTTCGAGTTGCAGGACTGCGCCGACGTCTGTCGCGACCGCGAGGACTGCTTCGCCTTCTCGAGCTGCCTGGTCGGCAAGCAGTGCGTCATCGCCTCGGAGGCCCGAAAGCCAGAGTTCGAAGAGACCGAGTTCCAGGCGGACTGCACCATGTACACGAGTGAGTATTCTTAGCGCGAAAACACGGCTTCCTTGAATCCTCATAATCATCATTGTTCAGACTCATCCTCATTCATGAGACTGTATCTTCCTTATAAGAAACACTCCATAAAAGAGAAGAACTGCTGCCCGATGCAGTGCCTTATCATCAGCAGCAGCAGCCTGACTACGCCCACTGCAGTGCAAATGTCTATTTCATCTTCCACTAATCAACCCACCCCGGCTGCGGCGGCTGCATTTCCGATGGAGGGGGAAAGGTTGTAGGCCCGTGTGCTCAGATTTGGGTGCACGTTAAAGAACCCCAGGTGGCCGAAATTTCCGGAGGCCTCCACTACGGCGTCTCTCATATGATGTTTCGGGGACGTTAAACCCCACAGCTCAATCAATCACCAATCAACCCGGTCCTGAGCTTGCTGCTCTATGTTATTACTTGCATACTTGACAACACCTACCCACCTGAATTCCCCCCTCCCCCTCGCGCGCTTGCCTTCTCTGCGAATTCACTTTTACTATCGGTGACCAGTGGTAAACTTTACGAACGCTTACTTTCCTGTCAATGCCCATTTTCTTTTGATTCAGACCCTTAACACCCGTTTGTTTATCACGCAGTCTACGCACTCCTCGTCTTTAAAGCTTACGTCGCTCGTTTTCCCGCAACCGCAGCCCATGCAGTTGTAGCACTGCCGTCCAATTCTTACTCAGGCAAAACTCTTGTCCCGATGTGGCAATAGATTAGAGGAGATCCTCGAAGCGTTTTGCATTGCGCCGCAGGAGACGCTGCAGTAGCCCCGCCGCGGTGGTCTATAGTGGCTAAAGTACTCGGCTGCTGACCCACAGGTCGCGGGATCAAATCCCGGCTGCAACAGCTGCATTTTCAATAGAGGTGAAAACGCTGTAGTTCCATGTGCTCAGATTCGGGTGCACGGTAAAGAACCCCCAGGTGGTCGAAATTTGCGGAGCCCTCTATACTATACGGCGTCCGTCATGATCATGTGGTGGTTTTGGGACGTTGAACCCCGCATATAAATCAATCAACACTCGCAGTATAGTTGCGCGTCAGCAGCGCTTGAAGAGATTACCCTCATGTCGTGATAGAGCACGTTATATATGATGCCAGATGCTATGTTTAAAGAAGCGCAAACGACAGAACAAGACTTTCACACTAAGAACGCTGTCCTGTCATTTACACCATTTTAAATAATATGAAACTATACTAACTATCACACCAGTCGACCTAGCTACGTGATATTGATGTGGTTTGCTTTTATATGTACAAGCGTTCTTTTTTTTTCCTATTGAACTACAGCTGACAGTTCGCGCTCGTCTGTTGTAAGCGCTCTTTATGTAATTCTTAAAGAGAAAAGAAGAGAAAAGTGAGCCCCATAACTGTCTGCATCACAGTGCGACACCTCAACAGTAGCTCGCGAGGAATGGGGGTGATAAGGGATTAAAAGTATAGGATTAAATGTATAGAGATAGAGGGAGGAGGAACGAGGGAGCGTGGCGCAGGGACAGCGATATACGGAAGTAAGGAGAAGATGGGAAAGATGGACACGGTCACAGGAGTCCGAGGACGGGGCACCACTCGGCGAGAGCTCTTGTCAACGTCAGGGGATGGCGCAGGGCGAGTCAGTCGGCCAGAGGTGCGCTGTCGTTGGAGATCGCGGGGTCACAACCGGTCGGCACGAAATGAAGTCTGCCCGTGCTTGTTGACCAGCGTTTCACCTTCCGGAATCACCGATGATCCCCACCTCACATAATGAACCGTCTTCGGTGCCTCTCGCAGAGTCGTACGAGGTGAACTTCGAAGAGCTGCCGGGCATATGCTACTCGTCCGCGGCGACCAAGTACGTGGGCGCCAGCCTCGCGTCGGAGTGCGCCGCCGCGTGCATGAACGAGAAGGAGTTCACGTGCAAGGCGTTCGACTTCTGCGCGACCCCGCGCGAGGGGGGACTGTCCTGCCGCCTCCAGGACAGGAGCATCCTGCAGGTCGACAACGCCAAGGACCTCGACCGAAGCGGCGCCGAGAAGTGCAGTCACTTCACGCGTGAGTAGGATTTCAATACTAACCAATAGACCCATTCCGTGTTTGTAAAACATACGTAGGCCGATGTCGACATTATGGGTAAAATTATAGCGACGTCCGCAAGTAATTAACTTCCGCCATAAGCGCTGAGGGCTGCGATGTGCGCCAACAAACAAAACTAAGTTGTGATACGTGACTCACATCCAACCACGACGCAGCTCGTCGGCATGCCGTTTCTTTTCTTGTTTTTTTTCTCGTTGCTTCACTGAGAACACCACATGCACCATTGAAAACGCAGCAGAAACTGCGGTAGGCAGAGCGTCCTTCGCCTACCAAGACAGCGCCACCGCATTTTGCGTGACGTAAGTCCGGTGTAATTTGTCTATATATATTGGGGGGGGGGGGGGTCCTAAGCTTCGCCTTTAAGAGTAGAACGCGGTAGTGATTTGCTGCCCCTAGTGCGCGCACTTTAACCCCTTAGCCTGTGTCAGAAAAAAAACTTTCGCACACGGCTGCATTTTGTGAAATGGATACCATGCTTTAAACAACGAGAAATTATGCACGTCAAGTGATTTCGAAATTGATATGCGCCCATTACTACGTCGTCTTAAGAGAATAGGCGCAGTAAGGTGTGCGCCTTTTGTAATAGGTGGCCGGCCTCAAACCACGGAGTCGCCATGATAATCACATGTTCTGACGCCCATTGGCAATGTTTATTGTACCACTCTATATTACTGCGATGTTACATGTTGCATTGTAGTCTATATGCAGTACGCTTGCGTTTGCGAAACATGAAAGGTATATTCATTGCATTTTCAAGTATACGCGTGGCTTTTGTGTGGTATAGAACACCTGCTTGCCGCAGAATCTCCACCTCGTCACAATAATCGGGAAGCTCTGAACAAGTTATTGCGTGAGACAAAAGTATAGGGGAGACTAAACAGTTGAAGGAATGAAGAAACAACGCATATACGGGAAGGATAGAAAGGATCATGCACACATACTGGTGCGTGCTTCTTTCGCTGGATCCGTTCAGTTTGTGCGCTTTTTTGCTTTGTTTTGTTCCTTTCTTGAACGGCACGTACCAACTAGCCTGCCTTTTACCGCTTGTTGACTTCAAATACTTGAGAAAGGGGGCGTAAGGCTAAACGATAGTTATAGCGCGAGAACAGAACGACGGCAAAGAGACAAGAAGGTCGTCGTTCTGTTCTCGCGCTATAACTATCGTCATGTCATACCAACTAGCCCAAACTGCCACACTTGCAAAGCTAAAAATGCGAGAATGACAGAAACAACGCGAAGTAATGATGCACAGAGTGGCCCAACAGAGCGTATACTCCTGAGTCACAGTGAACAGCTTTCGGGCATCGCGATTTTCCTTCCATCGCCACCTTCCCCCCATCATCATCAACACCTTCTCTCTCCTTTCTTCCGCTACTCAAAGTAGCGGCTCAGAAAATTGATTTAAGCCGACCTCTCAGCTTCTCTCTCATAATTTCTCTCTCTCTCTCTCTCTGCGTCGGTGTATTTGTCTCTGACTTTGTGTCTGACTGTGTCTGTGACTTTGTGTCTGTGACTTCGTGTCTGTGGCTTCGTGTCTGTAGCTTTGTGTCTGTGACTTTGTGTCTGTGACTTTGTGTCTGTGACTTTGTGTCTGTGACTTCGTGTCTGTGACTTCGTGCCTGTGACTTCGTGTCTGTGACTTCGTGTCTGTGACTTTGTCTTTGTGTGTCTGTGTGTGTAAAGCAGAGAATGGTGAACGGCTGAACGCGTTATATCGCGAGCGTGTTCTGTTTCAACGACGTCGCTCGCAGGCAAGCACATCAGCGACTACCGCAAGGAGCGGAGGGTCCGTCTGCTGGGCACCCCGCGCACGACAATCAAGAAGGTGTCGGAGGCCGAGTGCGCGCGGCAATGTTGGGAGGCCGCTTTTCAATGCGAAAGGTTCGACCACTGCTCGGGCAAGAACGAACTCGGCAAGGGCGACTGCCTGCTCTTCGACGGCGACAAGGGAACCGACGGCACCGTCATGTCGCCCATTTGCAACTCGTACACGTACACGGGAAAATGTGAGTGAATACTGCACAGCTTACGCCGTGGCATAATCCTAAAGGCTAAGGTGTTGCGTTGCCAGTGCACGAGGGCACGGAATCTATATTCTCTGCTACAGGGCAACCTCATTTCGGTGAGGACAGGCTGCAAAAAGCGACAGCGTAATTAGATTTACGAGCACTGCAAGAATACCATGCAGTCAAAATTAATCTGGTATTCCTTGATCGGTTGTTTCTAAATTCTCAAGAAAGACTCACTAGGCATCTTTGTTTCGCATGCCTGTTTGTTCCACTATCTGCTCACTATTTCCATTCCCGCCGCGGTGGTCTAGTGGCTAAGGTACTTGGCTGCTGACCCGCATGTCGCGGGTTCGAATCCCGGCTGCGGCGGCTGCATTTCCGATGGAGGCGGAAATGTCGTAGGCCCGTGTGCTCAGATTTGGGTGCACGTTAAAGAACCCCAGGTGGTCAAAATTTCCGGAGCCCTCCACTACGGCGTCTCTCATAATCATATGGGGGTTTTGGGACGTTAAACTCCACAAATCAAATCAATCAAACCAAATCACTATTTTCATGGTTGCGAGCAGTTATAACAAGATGTTCGTGGAGAGACGGATTTTTCGCCACCCCATTTGTATCAGTTTATCCATGTGCTCATTTCATCAAAGTGTCTGCAATATCTGAATTATCGAAAACCTCGAGGCAAGTACAACAGTGAGTTATAACCGTTATGCCTGCGTGACATCGAAAAGGCAAATCCGCTTTATGTACGCGTTCCAAGAAATAAACAACGAGGTGGTTGTAGTACGTCTGTTAAAATCAACGTGCCTCCTTTGTTAACTAACTACCGTGCTCCGTTTCTCTGCAGATAACGACGCGGTAGCAAGAGCGCCTCAGGCATTTCACAGCAACGGTGAGTTTCGACAAAGATTTCACACTAATTATTTTATTAGTCAATCTACATATGGGCTCACGCCCCTGTCTTGTCCTTTTTTCGCATTTTTTTCTTCCTGCGCTTACACCAGCTGTAACACCGCTAAGAAGCAGTAAAGAAGTATTCCAATGCTAGAGTCTAAACCGGAAGTGACTTGATTCTAAACTGTTGCGTACTAATTGTGTGTACAGTACAATCGGAAGTCGTCGACAAGAGGCGGGAAAGTCATTCTACCGATCCAAAGTGGCAATACGAAAGTTCCGTATGACCAGGAAGTCACGTGACAGAAGCGGGAAGTGACGTCAAAAAGGACAGAAAATTAAGTGTGACGCACAACGTAGCGTTGTGCTCATTCAATCTCAACCCAATCGTTGTGGTGTCGAGCAACATGTTTTTTTTCCTTTAATACAGCGTAACTTATAAGCCTCCTAGAGGACAAGATAAAAGTTTGACTAGTCCGCCAGCACACCTGGCTCCTTACAATGCATCGGAACCACAAGCCACAGGCATTTGATGTAGTCCAGAGATCCTCTGCCCACGTCATTCAATGTACCATAGCACATGTGCTGCATTGTTTCTTTTTGCATTGTTTTGAAATCTGATCGATGACTAATCTTTAGGTGTTTCACCTCCTCGCATGTGGTTTCTTACAGCGAAAGCAGCCGGCCTGTCTTTCTTCGTGGTATTCCTGGGCGTCGGCATCGTGCTCGCGGCTCTGTTCGCCTACGGCATCTACAAGACCAGACGGGCCAGCCCACAGGAATGAGAACGAGGAAATAACGAAAAAAAATAAAATAAAATATATTTATTTGGACCAACGTCCCCCGCCTTTGCACTGCAAGCAAACGTCCGTTCCGGTCACGGTGCAAGAATAGTTTAAGTGAGCGAACTCCGGGACTATCCTCTGCCCGATAATGTGCTTCGCAAGGATACCGAGAGATGGCGCTACGAAGTATGACCCGACTCCCCGTCCCTCTCGGTGTAGGAGAGCCCCGTGACGTAGGAAAGTAGCGGCGCTCATTATCGTCGCCACAACAACTTCACCGCGCCGTCAACCTCCTCCCTCATCACCCCTCTTCCACTGCGCCGCTCTATGGGTGTCCCGTGGTTGATATCGCGCGATAACCCGGTTTTCTCAAATTTGGAAACCGTCGCCCACGCACCGGATGTACTTTGCGGAATTTGCGAGCAGCCCGCCACGCGCCTCAGACCGGTGAGCCATCTATCGGCATGCCGCAAACGAGAACATAATCGGTCCTTCCCCGCCGAGCGCTCGCTCCGCGGCTTAAAGTATTCTTGCACCGTGGTTTCGGTCAATGTAACTTCTACAAAGACACTGAGGGACTGCTTTTACGTGAGTAGTATGTTTCTTGGCAATTTTGTTGACGCACAATATCTGTAGGAGTGAACTCCCCCTTCCTCGCAGTATATATATATATGTATATCAGCGCCTAACTTGCGTCGCTAATGGTCGAGTACGAAGGTTCTTCTACCTACCACGGCAGCCGCATTTTTGCGGAAGCAAAATGAAACGGCAGCCGCGTAATTGGGTGCACTGTAAAGCAGGGGTTGGGCCAGGATTTTTCGACGGGGGAGAGGGGAAGCAGGCACAACAAGTGAATTCTTTCGAGGGGAGCATGGATGCAGATTACTTATTCGTTGTCTTATGATAATGTCAGAGTTTGCGGGGGGGGGGGGGGGGGAGGCAATGACGTGGGGTTAGTTTCAATTGTGAAGGGCTAAAGCCCCCCCCCCCCCTTCGGTATAAATAACACCATTAGAATGGTAAGCTGCGCCAGTTGTTTGTTCATGATGAAACCCTGCAGCAGCCACAAGTGGGACATAAAACAGCCACTGGTCAAAATAATTCCCGGCATGCCCCATTACCATGTGTCTCCTAATGATTTCCAAGTTTCAGCGCGTAAAGCACGGGAACCACAGTTTTAAAAGACACAGCATGAGTAAGCAACAGTGCCTTATCGTTATGCGCAACAGATAGGTAAAGGGAATGCTCACAGTTCTCATCGACGGACCAGCGATGACAGTGAAGCCATGGCGACAGCGGCACTATAGCGGTATATCAGCACGAAATATTAAAACGACAGAAAGTTGAGTACGGTTGATGACAAATATGGATTCCGCACCAAGTGTTGCGACTCTTGCTGCGGTGACTGAAAGCACGGCGGTAGCTTTTAGAAAACGGTGTCCGGGCGCTCGACTTCCTCGGTCGACCACAGTTCGATCGGGAACTGCGTTTCGATGTTCCGCACCCACCAGCGTCTCTTTCGTGCGATCCGTTTATCATTCCCTAAGCGCTTCGTCACTGGTACAGCACCGCCGTGCACCGACGTAATCGCGGAAACGAGGGGTGCAACTCGCGGAAGGATTCCTTGTCCGATGCCCAATTGTTTTTCGTGCTTTTCGCGTATGGTCACAGGTCAGAGCGACGGTCCGTCAGCGTTATCGACCCGATCAGCCAGCTGCCGATGGTGGATGATAAGAAAAGCGTAGCATAAGGCAACGCTCCGCGTTAGCACCCAAGCTATATCGGGGCAGTAAGCGGCACAAAGTGAAAAGTAAAAAAGATACAACACAAGTAAAAAACAAAAGTAATGTACTGTCAGCGTCAAATGAAACGCGAACGGCGGCAAGTCTTCGCGGTGGTGTAGCGCGTGCCATCCGCTTATCACCAACGTTACTAGATTACCTCAGTTAGCAAACTCTGCCGGGATGCGGCGGCGAAACGCGGCCCCCTTCGTTTCCCGCTCTCTAGGTGGCGCTTCCGACGCCATTTGACCGGTCGCCGCATCGTAACGGAGCCTTCGCGCAATGTTAAACGGAATTTACGCGGTTAATTTTGTGTAATGGGAGTTATTTCCCGAGAGGGTGAGCGAAGGTTATTACGAGTGTGCAAGTAAATCACCAGTTGAGCCGCTAAGGCGATGCCACACGGCAGAGACGTGAGCGCGATGCCCGAATCTTGCGGGACTTCTGTTCATACAGCTCTTTTGCGTTCCTGTTCTTTAAAATTCGATTGCCTATGTAAAAAAAAACCATTGACAGTGGGCCACAGCATTAAGTCTAAATGCTAGAGGGCTATGCACTTCGATTCAGGTGCACGTTAGAGAAACCCCAGGTGGTTAAAATTTCCAAAGCCATCCTGCTCTTCAGGTTCTCTGGACGTTTCACAAGTGATCTTTAGCAGCTCTTCCTCTATGAATTTTCAGCGGGAGGCTTGAAAAAAATGTCTCTTTTCAGCCGCGTATTTCGTCGAATCGTACCCACTTCGGCAACCAGTCACAAAGCAGCGAGGCATGTTTTCTCACATTCAAGAACCGTCACATGACACATGTGAGCTGTGTAGCTCACAGGGAAAGCGATGACTGAGTTGAAGACATTAAAAAACACCCGGCACCATGCAGATCACGCCAACGCTGACAGCGTCGGTGCCACGCCGGGCACCACGTTGATCGCTATCGTAGTAAGTTGCAGCCAGAGCACACACTACGCGAGTTACGTCGAAATAAATCTTGCTGGGACTCAGTGACAGCGATGACTACGAAGCACACTTGAAAGCAACAAAGCAGCACCCGGCATAAGACCACAACTGCAGTAACTCCGCCGTTGTCAGACGGCACCGCCGAGAGGGGGCGCGCCTGCGGCTTTTTGACCGGTACAGGGAAGGGTGACACTCGCGGCGCCGCAGTTTGCAAACTGAAAAAAGTATCTAGTAACGTTGCTTATCACCGTAAGCATGCACGCGCAGAGCTGTTGAACAGGATGCGCGTGCATAGTGAAAAATGGACGGTACGTTCTATACCATCGTTAAGGCTCGCCGCTGTTCGGGTTTCATTTGACGCTGATAGCACAAAGCACGATTTAAGCGATTCGAATAAGCTGACGACATGCCAGAAATGGCGGTCGTGACGTCATCACTTTTTGACAACTGTAGTGAGCGAACGAAAACTTCATTTCGATTGCCCTCCTCCTCCGCGTGTTCAACGACGAAGGAGCGGTTTCTTCCTCTCCTTAGGTTCCCTTTCCCAAAGGCCACATTGCCTCCTCACCAATTACTTCTTCACGAAGCACGTGTGCTATTTCAGCCAATCAAGGTTTCGCACTTGTCGGCTACACGCTGTTACTTCCGCTTGCGCAGTCGCAAAGATAGGCGAACGCCCTTCTTCCGTGGCGTACGCACGGTTTCCCTTCGGGGGGGGGGGGGGGGTGTCATCTCGTCGTAGCTCCCCCCCCCCGCCTTATGTCATTGCAGGCCCGTAGCCAGAAATATTTCTCGGGGTGGGGGCGCATGTTCAAAGCCTAGAACACCTATTTTAATTGTTTATTTTCTGATAATACACCCCCCCTCCGTCCGCATTTCATGTGTGTGTATTTGGGGGGGGGGGGGGGGGGTTGCCCAGTTTTCTTGCACAACCCCCTGACTGCAGGCCCGTATCATTGTATGAGGCTGACATTGCGACTCCCTTGCCCTCCTCCTTCCCAAGTCGCAGCACCCACCCTTCCTTCCTATTACGTCAATGTGTAGGGCTCGCTTAGCCCCTCTCCCCCCTTTAGTGTTTAGGGTGGGTGCCCCCCTCCCTCCTTGCGTTTTCTCTTTCTTATTTGTAGAGGCGCGTGTCTATACGTCTGCTCGCCCCAACACTGACGGAACTTTCGAAATAGCGCTTCCACTTGTGCCCGTGTGTATCAGAGCGACGTAACTGTCCACACCTTTTTTTTTTTTCTTTTTTGAAGGCGAAGGCCTTTAACGTCTCATGCTCATGTCCATCCGTCCGTGTCCTGGCACGGCGGCATGTTGCCGCCAACAGGACCGTCGGTCACTTTTTGTGTTCGAGAATCTAAGGCTTTCGCCTTAATGAAAGACTGAAACCATTTGGCTGAGGATCTCTTTAATAAATTCCTTCATTGCGTGCAAACTTTGTGCAGAGAATGTGCGACTTTGGAGCGTCTATGCAGAAATCATGACACATATTCTTGCGAGAACTTTAATATGCGCAATTCCTTTCAAGGCGTGTTCGCTACAAAACGAAATAGCATGTGTATAGTAGATGCAACCGAGCTGTTTAATAGTGTCTCCATTCCGTGTACGAGTGACTTGAAGTGACCATAACAGCAAAGTGTGCTGGCATTTTGTCCTCGCATCACCGATTTACACAATTATAGACGTATCTGACGTTTACCACACGTGGCGTTGCAGTTTCGTGCTTTCCGAGGGCGCAGTCGTTAAGTTACACCAGTCAAACGCATAAGCTATATGTGACGCAGAAAGATAGAGAAAAAAATCCAATCACCGCACGACAAAGGACTCCATGCTGCAAACTTCACCAGTCGAACGCGGTTCAATAGACTTACAACTTGGCGCAATGAAACAGAAGACGCCCATTGCGACGTGGCTTCAAATCTGCCCTTCTCAACGTCGCCATCCCGCCGCTTTTTTTTCTAGAGAGAAAGATTGTTATATAAACCTAACTATTTGAGAAACGAGTGTTTGGAACTGATACAAGGTCTGGTCCAACGTTTACCCCAAGCCATTCGACCTTCTGAGCCACCTTCGATCTAAATGCTCTTACCCTCGCTTTCAGTCCAAATTCCTCCATCATCGTGATATGCTATGCCTGAAATCTGCCAAGTGAACAAAAATAAAGCGCATCACCCTTCTGAGTCTCGCTTTAGAGAGTAATCCTGCGGGATGACCTATCGCTCAGTGGTAACAATTATGGTGGGTATCGAATACTTGTTCCGCTATTGACGCTACGTCAGAGGCCACACATGATTCACAGGCGGGTCACCTGCCCTTCAG